GGACATGGTGGCGGAAACCGCCCGACTGGACTCTCAGAGCCTAGTGGGACTCAGGTTACTCCGTTCCATCCTGAAACACTCAAGATTACAGCTGTAATGAAAGCCCAGCGTGGATAATTAACTATTTGATGTCTCCCTTCCCGTCTACCCTGCAAGCTTAATGAATGCTACCATCTTAATGCTCTTGTCTTTTCTCTGTATCCCTAGGGGCACCCAGCGTGAAGCCCAGAGTGGGGAGGTGCTTCAGGTACCATGAGTCTTGGAGCAAGTTTTCACAGCACTGCAACATCGTGGTGTGGGTTCTTTCCTGCCCATCACACCAGGAATCTGGTCAGCACCTCTGCAACAGATTCCTTTGTGTTCATTTGTTCAGCAAACATGTGTTCAGCCCCAACCATGGGCCAGACAGCACTTGCCAACACGCTCCTTGCCAGTGTCCTCACCTCCACTGAACCAGAGCCCTTGCTCCCATTCCAGAAGCATCCTAATCACTGCCCCAATCAGGGCCCTCCTGTCCCTTTGGGGAGAAGTCCTCACCCCCTCTGATAGCACAATTCCTGGCACTCACTATTCGAGAACACCTGTGCAGACACATAACCCCGCCCCCCACAACAGCCAACGTTAAGAGATTTGAAGCTCCTTGTCTTGAACCATACCTCATGCCTCTACTTCAATGAATAGTCCCCTAATAATCCCTTTAAATAATTCCTCATCTTTGGATTCTTCTATGGATATGTTCTTTATCATCCCTGCTTCTTCTAAATTCCAACACACACACACACACACACACACACCTGCTACACCTCCCAGAATCATCATTGCATTATAAACAAACTTCCCTTTATCCTCTGGTTTTTGCAGAAAAATCTCCCCATTTCCTTGTCTTGCCTAAAACGTGATCCTTCTCTGTAACATTGCTTCCTTACAAGATGGAGGCTTCTGGCCCTCCCACACCCTGCAGCCCTGGAGTTGGAGAGGGCTATGGGACAGAGGGCCAGGCTGGCATTTCCTAACTCCCCATAGCGTCCTACTCAGGCTCACCCCTTCATCTAGTGCATCATCCAGCCATGGCCATCCTATCACCTCCTGACCTCCTGGTCAGTCTCCCCCATTCAGTGGAGACTCAACCCCTTTTCTATACCCAAACCCAACCGTGATCAGGGCTTCTCGGCAGTTGCGGGGGCCTCGGTACTCCCAGGTCATATTATGTATAAAGACCTTCAGCTCCAGTTGATTTGACTCAGTCATGGTGTCAGACCCAGGAGCATTTCATCCGCTGCAAGGACTCTCCAAAAGCTCAACTCCAATACTCATGTTCAGGTGTAACCTTTGTAACCCTCTCCAACCCCATGACCCTTGGGTCTGCCACATCACCACCATTCTGGGGGTTCCAGGCTAAGAGGCCGTGGCTCAGTCAGCCTTCCTTACTCTCCTTAGTCATCCAAACTACCCTTAAAAAATATATATTTATTTATTTGACAGAGAGATAAAAAGAGAGAGAGAGTGCTCACACACAGGCAGGGAGGGGGGAGGGAGAGAGAGAGAAGCAGACTCCCTGCTGAGCAAAAAGCCCAAGGACACATGGGGCTCGATCCCAGGACCCCGGGATCATGACCTGAGCCGAAGGCAGACACTCAACCGACTGAGCCACCCGTGACGAATACTACAATATTTGTAAATGATGGAATGTTTCTTTATTTGAAAAATGTCACGCAGGAGCATGATGGTCAACATATTTGTAGCTCCCAAGGATAACTGAGCTCGTGGGGCGAAATGCAAAAGGAGGCAAATCGTGAATCAATGTAGGAAGACCTTCCTAACAACACAGTTGGAATAAGCTGTTCCAAGGTGTAAACTTCCTGACTAGAGATGTTCAAACACATGGGCAACCCCAGGAAGGGACAGTGCCTTTGGTGTAGAGAGTTGTCATAAATCTCCCTTAGACCCTTCCCAAGCATAAGGGTCTTTGATTACAGACTGGCCTTGCCATGTCTCTGCGTGAGTCAGCTGTTTCCCGTCGAGCTCTTCTTAGCACCCATCCACTACTTGCAGATTTTCTTGTCATCATTTGATTTTCCCCTTCTCCATGGAGTGTCCTGTCTGCGCCAGTCATGGGCACAGAACGTGGTAGCTTTTGTTTTTGCTTACCTTTTATATGCATGTCTGGTATTCTCAGTTGGACTACGACACCTCTGATGACAAGCACCGTGTATCATTCTTCAGCCCTCGAGTGTCTGATGGATGCCCCACACCCATGCACCTAGCACTTACATATCTTGGCCCAACCTCCAGCGTCCTTCAAGGCTGCTAATTCCAGGGAATTCCTTCGACAGTCCTGGATCATTCATGGAAGAAAGTGATGAAATGAAATAATTCACCCGATGTCTTAGTGTCAGAATATTTAGTCTATCGTTTTAAATAACACTCCAGCAGAAAGTAATGTTTTGCTCAAAAAAAAGTACTCTCTGGTGGTGGACTCTCAGACTCGAGGGCTGGAGAGTAGAGAAGATACGGCAGCTGCTAGCCCATCCCGGAATCTTCACGTGTCACCATGGCTACCCTTTACTTTGATTCTGTTTGAGGCTGTTGCCATCCATGATGACTATCTCCTGACACATCCCGCTTTGTACAATTCTCCCTTGTACTCGATGGTCATGGAGTGTTATTTTATGTCTTGGACTGGTTCTATGTGTTTCCTATAGTTCATAATCATTGTGATTGAATTAAAGAAGAATCTTATTTTCTAACGAGATTGGACATTCATTTCTCTGAGCAGTGTCTCCCAGGGGCATTCAGATTCAGATTGGCTGGTTTGGAGTTCTTTCAACTCCTATGATTTTATTATATTTAGAAGTCCTATAATAGTGGATCTCAGAGTCCATCTAAACTATAAGTAACCAATGCTGAGTTCCTAGCACATCTCTATAGATATAAATAAATTAATATATTTACATATTTAAGAAAGAAAAATAAAAGACCAGCGGGATAAATCATTTGCTAAATTCTTGATAAACCTTTTCTCTTAAAAACTTGTATTTCTTTCTTATTAATACATTTCAGCATGATTTATATTCAATTGAATTAAACTGTAGCAAAGTTATTGAAATTGAATTGGTGACAGTATTTGTAGATGATAATTTAATTAGGGATGGAGGTGGAAAATCAAACTATTAAGCATTTATTTCAATTTTCATCTGCAAAACATACTGGTTCAAACCTGGGCTATATTTCCGCGTATTCCAGAAAAGATGAACGTCATATTTTGAGGACAGAGTACACATAGTTGAAAGATTTTTTCTCCCTTATAAGAGCACGTTTTAAATAGGTTGACTTGGCTGCACTTCCAACTGCTTAACGGTTAGATTTCAAAGATTGATTACGTGTGTGAACAGTATCAGTGGAGTGACTAACGTATTGTTTACAGTCAACTCATAAAGTACAAAGTACCCTGCTATGTGGGAGCGCGTCGGAACCAGCTTCCAGGGTCAGTGGGCTAGTGATCGGTGATCAGCCTGGAGGGCGTAACAGAGAAATAGCTCATCTTGCAGGCAGCAGAACCATCATGACAGAGGTCAGCTAGGGTGCTCCCCGCCCGCGCACGTTGCACGGATAACTCGGAGGCTAATTAATGCAGACCTGTATCGATGGAAAAACAATTTGTTGAGAAAAATCTGCACTTTGCAATAAGTTCCACATGCCCTTGAATCCATACACGTGGATGAACTGAATACGTGTTAGGTACCCTGACTTCTCATATCTGCCCTCTTCTGGGTACCTGACAATCACTCTGTTCTCCCAGCTAATCTCGTTCACCTGCTCTTGGAAGAAATTGTCTCTGAGTTTAGAATTCTCTGTGACAATTATTTTATCTTTCATCATTCTCAATACATTCTTCTGTTATCTTCTGGCTTACATGACTCCTGAGGAGAAGTCAGCTAAAATTCTTTGTTCTTCTGTAAGGGATTGGTAATATTTCTTTCTCATGGCTGCTCTCGAGATGCTCGCTTGGTCTTGGTTCCACACCCCACCTGCCCCCAGCATTGCACTGAGAGGATTTTTGTGGGATCGTTTGTTTCTTTGTTTATCCTGCTCAGGATATTCTGGACTTTCTGGATCTGTGGCTTCTTTTTTTTCTTTAATTTTGGAAATATTTCTGTCTTGTTCATTTTTACTTTTCCTTCCAGTACAGCAATTACAGGTATGTTAGATCATTTGTAGTATCCCAGTGGTTTTGACGGTTTTTTTCCCCTTTTCTCACTCCGGTTTCTCTTTGTATTTTAGCTTATATGCGTTCCTAACCTAGCTTCAGGCTCACTGATTCTTTCCTCAGATGTCACCCTTTTCCTCCTCCACCCACCAGCAATAGAAAGAAGGAGGAGAAGGTCGGGGACACTGAGAAGCCCGGCCACGAGGTGAAGGTGCACAGTCTCGCCCGAGACAGGCTGGCGCAGACGAACAGAAGAGACCCCACTGCCCCTTCACTGCCATCTTAGCAGTGGGTGATTTGTTCTGTCGCCACTCCCATGGGGAGCCGAAAGCCTCAAGAAGGGTCCTGTCTGTGCTGCAGGCACGGGAGGAACTCTGGAAATCTCTCCGGGACTCCAGCCCCTCTGAGTACAGCTGACATCAGGCCCCTGGCTTTCCACATCCCAAGCAGGAGCAAAACTCCGAGGGTATTTCTCTCAGATGAATGATTAGCCCCAGTATTAGCCATGTGGAAGAACAGCATTTCAAGATTTTGAAATTAGTGTATGCCTGTAGGTATCCCAAAGCCCTCCTGAACGTCCCATTCCTAGCTCTTTGTCACTCACGTTTCTCAGTAAGTGTTTTTAATTTGGGAGCATAAAATCCTCTTTTCAATAGCTTTCCTCTTCTGAGATTCCCAAATGAACAAAAATTAAAAAAATGTCATGGACTTTCACATATGAAAGGTCAGTAAATATATTTATTAGAAGAATGTCACAGGCATAAAAATCTGCTCTTGTTCCTTTAATGAAATGTCAATTCACTTTGTGGTTATTCAGGAACTGAATGATGGAGCAGTTCTTAATCATGGTGTGACACCGTATAAAGGGGACGCAGCCCCGCAGGCTCTGTCCATTTGGCATGAAGGAATAAAATGACTTCTGATCATCTCGAATTTCCTTTACGGAAAGAAAATTTCACCTTAACACAATATATATGCATATATTAAAGTCTTACTGTCAGAGTAAAGCAGACAGTTTACTGATGTTTCCCCTTTTCTAAGGGCTTTGAAAGCTAGAATTATATTTGAACTACGTCTGCGCCCTCGTCACTCGATACTAAAATTATTTTATTGCACTTCCGCCTGTAGGTTTTCTCAGCCATATTATCTTTCTAATTACAATGATTATCTGCACACAATTTGGGCTGAATGTGAAGTACTTTTTAAACTTAAAATTCCCAGATGATTACTGGCAGCTCATGATCTACAAACGAGTTGGGCTCTGAGAGTCCCAGGGTGGGCGAGTTGTGCACTTCGGCTGTTTTCTCCTGCGGGTAACAGCATCATCAGATGGTTCGTCTCAAGGCACCAACAACCCCTCTTCCCACTAGTCATGTACCTGAAGTTCTGCGTGACCATTAGATTAAATCCAGAATCTAATCGTGTGTATCCTATGATGCTAATGTTCAAAGTGTTTTCAGATATTTCTTAATCATATCTGGAGTCGAGCTTCCTAGAGAGATGCCTGGACCACAAACCCCTGGATTTTCAATGAATGGCTTTGCATCCTCATTACTGACACCACCTTGATTCCGGAACCAGATCTATGCCCTGAGGACAAGACCTGCTGAAAATGCTCTATTATTCTCTGCTGTTGGCCCTTTGAATCCACAAGTCTGGTTCAGTTCTGAGCACTGGTGAGCTGTTGGATTATGGTGATGCTAACTCACTTCAAAAAAACCCAAAACTAAAAACAACATTCCTTTAGTGGCTCCAGGCATGATGTGTGGATGTTCTGCACCTCTTCCTGAGAAGCCAAGTTCTTCTCAGATGTGGGAGTGGCTCCTCCTGCCGGGTGGGGGGTGGGGTGGGATTCACAGCACGCCACAGGGTAAATATGGCACATTATCAGAA